TCCCTTTTTCACTAGCCAACCTCGAGTGTTTATTACAAATCATTATAAACCAAAAATAATGAATTACATCAAAACTAAAAAACAAAAGAAGTTACAACCAGAGGAAGCCTGATTCTTAACTTCCTCTCTGAGTTATGGAATAAACCACCTCAAAATGCCATGTTCAAAGCCTTTCTCAGACCTGGGTGTGTCAGAGTTCCCTAAGGGTCTCAAGGGACCCCGGGCAGTGCTTACACCCAAGTTCACAGAACCAGATAGAGATGAATGCAGTGTGGAAGGGCCAGCTCTTGTGTGTCCAAGTTCAGAGGGAGCTCATGGGTCCCAAGGCAAGGCTCACACAAGAGGGGTAGAACTTAAGTCTAAGAATATGGTGGAAGTGCAGGAATGGAGATTTAAAAACTGAAGGGGTAAAGGAGAGGGATAAGGGGTGATGGGAAAACAGTAGTAGTAAAGCATAGAGTTAATAATTTTCATACACAGGGGTCAGGGGGGATTGGGAATACATTGCAAAAAGCATATATCCTTAGGCAGGGATCAGTTTTGGGCATGCACAACAATATATGGTGCTGGCATGCCTATAAACCAACCAGAATACACAACATGTAGAGGGGATAGGGAGGTTATGATCCCAGGGGATCAGGTTTGGGTCATGCACAGCAATGTCCAATGCTGTCATGCCCCAAACCAACCAAAGATATCAAACACATAGGGGATGGGGGTTTAGTATTCATAAACCATAATAAATGACTGACAGAATTCATAAGAGAGCATAATTCAAAATAGAAAGGGGCAGATTACAGCCATAACAATGGGACTTGACTAACCACAAACAGGAAGCAAACAAGGGTGAAGGAAATAGTAAAGAAACATGTTGTTTTTGATGCTGAAAATTAGTTAGAACATACCAGTAATGATGCAAATGCAGAGAAAAAGTAAGCAAGCTTTCCACAGCCTAGCCTTGGCTTACAGCCGGTTAGGTAAGGCAGCAATACAAATAGCAACAGAGAAAAGAGAGATTTTAGTGGAGTGTGTGTCTGAACTCAAGTATTTTATTCCTTGTGTTCGTGTCTTTGAAAGAAGAGGGGTGCAGGGTATTTATAGCTTTTGAAAATATGTGAGAAGTAAGGTAATAAGTAAAGTTCGATGCAAATATAGAAACAATCAATTGTCATAATCAATCAACCAAGCGATTCCCCTTTAATTGAGGAATCACTTGTTTAACGGGGCTAACAGGTTCAAAATAAGGGAAGAAGATCAGTCTGTAGGCAGACTGATCATTGCCATAAAAGAAGCAGTAAAACATTAAGTAAGCAATCGAGTCCAAGTACAGAGATACACTTATTTTAGGAAAAAGATTCAGTAAGGCAAAATAAGGAAAGGGATCAATTACTTTAACAGGAGAGTGAAATTAGAGTCTGCAAAAAGAGAAGTTTTGAAATCAGTCCCAAGATTGAAAATCAATCAAAGAAGGAACCTCAGCATATAAATAGAGTGCACAAACAATAGACATGCGAGGCCAAACTATTGGCAAAAGAAACAGCATGCAATAGTAGCACAAAGTTCAGCAAACATTCGAAGCATGCTAGTCTAGTAGGTCAAGTCATGTTGAGTCAATAGTGAAGAAAAAATAGTGTATCAGAAGCATGCAAAGAGTCTAATAATAACAGATGAGGGCCCTTTTGAAAAGTTAGGGTTTCCAGGCATAGTCGAGTTTTAGAGATAGTAAAAGCCCAGAATCAGAGGAATCACATAGAGAAAAGTGATTCTGAAACAAAAGGAACTTCGAATCGAGTCAGGCATTCAGACGAATAGTTTCAAACCCAAAGACATAGGTTTCTTCAACAATATTCAAGCTTAAAAGATGATAAACAAATAAATCAAACAAATACTTAGCAAACAGCTTCAGAAACTCGAATGAACCCAAAAGAAATAAGGGTTTTCCACATCAATCGAGTTTAAAGATGATAAACAAATAAATCAAACAAACACTTAGCTAACAGCTTCAGAAACTTGAATAAACCCAAAAGAAATTAGGGTTTTTAACATGCTAAACTCAGATAGGAGAATAACATGAACAAACATAGTAGAATCACAGACACATTAAAATCAGAGAAAAGATTTTGAAAAGAAGAGCTTGAAGGAAAACCCTAATCGGAAAAAAAAATGAAGAGTCTTTTGAAAGCAAAGTTAAAGAAGCTTCGAGAAGGCGTTTCAAAAAACTCATGGCAAGCATAGATCTAAGGCAAATCTGAAAGAAGTCGAAAAGGTCTTAGAGATTAGGGTTTCAGGAGAACCCAAAAGCAACGAGAAAGGCTTTGAAAGTAACCGATCTAAACAGGAGAGTCAAAGGTCTGACTCGAATGGCCATGGCTGGTCGGAGAAAGGTCAGAGATGACCGGAGAAAGGTCATCGAGCAAAGACTGGACCGAGCCCCTTCAAAGTCTGGTCATGAGATCACAGAACCAAACACGTAGAAGCCATGGAAGGCTGGTACAGGTCTCCGATGACCTTAAAGGCCATGGATTAGGGTGGCGGTGGCTAGGGTTTAGAGTTGTTGTAGAGAGGATTTGGGAGAGGAGGGATTCAGAGGCGGCGTATGGTGGGGAATGACGGGGTTTAGGGGGTCGTTTAGAATTAATTTAGGCAAGGATGATTTTTGGCCGTTGATCTAAATGATCAACGGCCTGGATTTAAACGAGTAAGTGGGGATCCGGGTATGGGTCAGTTTAATTGGGTTGGGGGTCGGGTATGAGTAGGAATTGGGCCAGGGTAATTGGGTTTAAATTGGGGTAGAATTTAGGCCTTAATTGAAATGAAATCTGGCTAGATTTTGAATAGCCATTTTCCCCATTTGATTTATAAAATAATAAAATAATTTATGGAAATAAATTAAAGGTACTAAAATGATTTATAACACATAATTAACTATTTAAAAATACCAGACTTAATTTTGTGAATATAAAACACAATTAAATCTAAAAAGGGGCTAATATTGTAATTATATGCACTTTAGCTTAAAAATACTAACTATATTTGTAAAAAATATGCAAAAAATATTAGCCATATCTTAGCATAAGTATAAAATTTCAACAGATGAATTACCAAAGTAATAATATTAGAAATAATTATTGGATTTTTAAGGATAAAATAAGGGGATAAATTGATTTAAAATCTTTTAAAATTAAGAAAAAAATAAGAAAACACTTGGATATACTTATATATGCATACATACGCTATTTTGAAAGTATTCTGAATATAAAATATATATAGGGGAAAAATTGGGTATCAACAAGAATCGAATCCGTAAGTGTTCCAGTAAGTTTCAAGTATGAAGGGCCAAGCTCTTATTTCTCATGTTCCGAGTTATTCCTTATAAATTTGACTATTCCGAATAAGCTTGTGTTGAAAGATATGCACTAAAAATGTGTGCCAAATGCTCCTATCATATTATGTTCTCTTTCGGGAATGTATTCAAATGTGACCAATGTGTCAAAATATTATGATTTCAATCATGTTTCAATTGCAAGTTATTATGCCAAATTCTGGAAGAAACTCAATGTGCTTAAGACTCTTGTTGTCTATATATGAACTAAAAATTCGTGATTATAAATACATTACTGTTGATAATCCATAATGATGTTTGAAAGTGAAAGTAGGAGTATGAAATGTGAAATATGGCCGACGTGCCAAGAACAAAATTACAGTTGTGGCCACTAGTGCCAAAGAAATAAAAAGATGTGTGAAATATTATGAAATGAGCTTTAATTACTTTATATAATAAATATTTTGGGAGTATTTTTTAGTTACCGGGGAAGGATAGGCTGAATTAACCTAACCCTAAAACTACATGTGCCGGTGTAGGAGTGATTGAGGGGTAAATTCCCGTATTGATGTAATGAGATTATTCCACTTAATTGGGATGAGATTGATGTGATGAGATTATTCCCCTTAAGGGATGAGATGATTGCTAGCGGAATGTGATGTCTACCCACACAACATTGTGGTGAGACAGCTTAGCCGATCGGGCTGAGATCGGATTCCATGACGCGCACATGGTGGTGGTGTGATTGGATGTCTCTGATGAGACGGCTAAGCTGATCGGGCCGAGATTGGACTTTCTGCTAAACACACGGTGGTGTATTGGTAATAAAGATCTCCCAACTTAAAAATGTTGAAATTTACTTGAAATTTATCTTTCTCTTAACTTGACATTGTTATATTGTTTGAGGCTCCCATTGATTTCATGTTCGTTCTCATTGTATTGTTACTTATTCTATTTAGAGGGTGCTTAGTCTTACATGCTAGTACTATTACATATGTACTAACGTCCCTTTTTCTGCCGGCGCTGCATCTTTAATGGATGCATGTGGTTCCACAACAGGCGACATCGATCAGTGATAGAGGTACACTCTCTTCCTAGCCGACTTGGTGAGCCTCACTTCATTTCGGGGTCATGTATCTTTTGTGCCTTATGTATAATGTTTTGAGGTATAGCCGGGGCATTGTCGTCGGCACCATTACAATTCTCTTATATATCCGTTAGAGACTCTGTAGACATAGTGTGGCTTGTATATTGGTGTTGGGAAAGTCAAAATATAAATGTTGTATTTGTATCACATGTTCTACTTCAAACTAAGAATATGTAATGTATTTTGAGAATTATAAACAAATTAACTAATGGTAATAAAATTGTGTTGTTCACGTGATCTTCTTATTGTCTAATTAATGGAAATGCACCTTCACTTTATTCATGGGTAAGTTCAGGTAGAAGGCATTGAATAGGCTTGCTTGACTAGGGTACCTTAGTTGAGCGTCGGTCGCGCTCCCCAAGGTGGCGTGATGATTTGCCAATAATAGAATTTACCTACAACAATAGTTACCATGCTAGCATTCAGATGGCACCGTTCAAGGCTCTATATGGTAGGAGATGTAGATCTCCCATTGGGCGGTTCGAAATTGGGGAAGCAGAGTTGATAGGACCAGGCCTCGTGCATCAGGCTATGGAGAAGGTTAAGATCATTAAGGAACAGTTGAAAAATGCCCAGAGTCATCAGAAGTCCTATTCGGATGTGTGTCGTAGGGATTTTGAGTTCAAAGAGGATGATTGGGTATTCTTGAAGGTTTCCCCCATGAAGGGTATAATGCGGTTTGGGAAGAAAGGGAAATTGAACCCCAGGTATATCAGGCCGTACAGAATCTTTCAGCGGATTGGTCATGTGGATTATAGGCTTGAGCTACCTCCGGAGATGTCCTTAGTGCACCCGGTGTTTCATGTGTCTATGTTGAAGAAGGTGGTTGGATACTCGTCGCTCATTGTTCCGATAGAGGCTATTTGGGTTAATGCAGAATTGACTTGTGAGGAGATTCCAATTGCCATTCCTGATAGGCAGGTTCGAAAGCTGAAAAATAAAGAGATTACCTCCGTGAAAGTGCTATTGCGAAACCAACAGGTTGAAGAGGCCACCTGGGAGGCGGAGGAAGAGATTAATAAGAAGTACCCTCATTTGTTTGAATAACTACGTAGCTATCTCTAAAAAAAGTTAAGAGCTTTCAATCCATGAATTATGTTTCCCTTGTACAGTTTATGTTAAGAACGTTCCTTTCTGGTAATATAATGCTTATGAGGCCACAGTTGGTGTTGTTTTCATGCTATGTTACATCGTGGGATTAGATATATGTTGTTAGGATTGGTTTTTGGGATTCTGTAACAGGTGGATAGGCCCATTTACAGGGAAAACTCTGCCAAAATTTCTGAAAATTTGGGGAGTTAGTCAAAATTTGGAACTGCTGGTGTGTGAAATAAGAGTTGAGTCACATTGGGTGCAGATGGTGGATTTTGACCCTCATTTGAGGATGAATGATCCTAAGCAAGGGAGGATGTAAGGCCCCGTAAATTTTACTTAGAACCCGGGGTTTCGTGGTGCCGAGGTAGGCTAATGTGTTCGAGTGTTGTAGAAAAACTTTGCGGCAAGCTTGCGAGCTGCGGTATAGACTTTTTGGATTGTACAGTGCATCATGGAGTTAGAAGAATAATTTTTGCAGAACATGGCATTTATGGGTCCACTATACGATCACAGAATCACTTCGCAGACCGCAGATCGGTCGCATAATGCAACAGGACCAAAGCTAATTTTTGAATGGCATCTTGCGCTCCATTTTATGACTGCATAACCATTTGGCGGGCCACACATCCATCGCAAGCATTAGAAATTCTGGAGGGAGACTTTTGCGGTGTGTTATGCGACCGCATAACTATTCTATGGGTTGTAGAACGGCCGCAGACTTGACCAGGCCAACCCTATTTTTGGTACCATTTCTACGGTCCATTTTGCGGGTCGCAGACCTGATTGGTAGTGCACTCTGTGACCACAGAGTTGAGTTCAGAGGGTCCATTTTCTATGTTTATAACCCGNTCAGAGAGTCAAATTTGAAATCCAAGAGCCTGTGCTCGCCGCGGTCCATTTTGTGTGGCCCGCACTGACCTGCAGGGGTATTTTCGTCTAATTTTCCAGCTTAGTATAAATAGAACATTTAACCAATTTTAGGTCATCTAGTTATTTTGTTTCAGTTGCTGCGCTCGTGAGAACACCATTTGTAGCCATTTTTGGCATCTTAGCTTCAAATTAACAATAGATTCTTGTACTTCAATTTAGTATTTAATTAATATGTCTTGTTCTTCATCTATTACTTCATTTTCTCCTTTAAGCATGAGTAGCTAAACCGATTAGCTAGGGTTGTGACTCAACCCTAGTGTGGGTAATTGATGGGTGTTGCCATCTAGGGTTAGATTGACTATGGGTATTTGCTATTTGGGTTGATTTTACATTTTAATCTATAAATTGGTGGTTGCAAACACTGATTTGTGTTTGTGAATTTGACTCTTCTTGAGAAAGAGAGTCTAAGTCTCCAAAATTGACCCAATAAGGAATTGGGATGGACTCATGAGAAATGATAGTCCCAATTAACGGGTTAAATCTCGAGAGAGTAATCGCCCTACTTGAACCCTAGTTGCTTGATCTAATTTTCCTACCCATTTGGTCTGGAGAGAGTCAACTGGGCAAAATCACTCTCTCTACCGAGAGGTGCGACAGTGGGTAAAACATTGCAACGGTTATAGCATAAGCCCCAATTATGTCAATCGAACCTTAGTCACATCTACCCGTCAATTAGCCACCTAGGTGATGTCATGACCCTAGTGCCCCTCTTCCCATTAGATACAACCTTAGCAATTATCTCGTAGCATAATCTAGTTTCAATTAATAGTTTGATAATAGTAGTTTATAATTGAAAAACCCAAAAATGTTGGAAGTGACATTTAGAACAATTACACGACTCTAGTCTAGATAGACACCCAGCTCCAATTTCTAACTATCTGAGGAATTCGATCCCGACCCTCATATCGGGTAAAAGCTATTGCGACCCTCTCTTCCTAATTTATAGTAGTGTGGAGTTGGCAGCAATCAACTTTTTGGCGCCGTTGTCGGGGAGCTAACGATTTTGGCTATCTATTTAATTAGTTTTATGTGTTGTTCTTCTTTCCTTCTTATTTACTAATTTGTGTGTGTGATTACTACAGGTACCCGATGGCTTTAAACGCGAACGACCCTCTTGGAAACGTGCTTGCGGGGGAGGAGGTAGATGAAGTTGGAGAGGATGAGGTGCCTCTTGTACCTCCCGGACCAAGACGAGGCCGCCAGGCCAATGCTAATGACAATGTTCCATACCCTCCTCCGCCACCTCCAAGAGTGGCTCCCAGAGTGCGACCAAATCAAGGGTACGCGAGTGCTATAGTCCCTCCCAGAATCCAGGCGGCATTTTTAGATAACCAATGTGATATTGACCTTACTTGAGCAGCGTGGGTATTTCACGGGCGCTGTGGATCAAAACGCCTACAAACATCTAAAAGGGTTCGTGGATACATGTTGGGGTAGAAAGCAGACGAATGTGTCCGAAGATGCTCTTAGGTTGAGACTTTTCCCGTTCTCACTTCGGGGAAAGTCATTAGATTGGCTAGAGAGACTCCCCAATCATTCCATCACAACATGGGATGAGTTGGCGAATAAATTTATTGCTAAATTCTTCTCACCCGGGCACATGGCGGCAGTTCGAGATGAGATATTGGCTTTCAAGCAAGAACCCACGGAACCTTTGCATGAGATTTAGGAGCGGTTTAGAACAATGGTGAAAGAATGACCAAACAACGATATGACCGGGGCGATGATTCAACAAACCTTCTATCGGGGCATCAATACTACAAATCAATGCATAGTCAATCAATTGGCCGGGGGTAATTTTATGAAGATGTCTTATGACAAAGCTTGCAATAATCTTGATGAGATGGCCGACACTTCTTCGGCTTGGCAAAGTAGGGCCAATGTTCCTCAAGGCGACCCTACGGTTATTCATTTGCATAAGGAGTTACACGACCATGGAAAAGCTATAGCGGAGTTGACAACTACTATGAACCAACTGGCTAAGGCACAGTTGCAACAAGTCCGAAACCCTCGCCAAGTGAATGCTATGGAAAGTGTTAATTTGCTTACCAACAAGAGAAGGCAAATGAGGCAACAAAATCAAGGGAATTCCGAGCAATTTGATGAGCAGTGTGATGGGTTTCAAAATGATGGCTATGATGAGCAAAATGAAGAGGTACAATATGTTAACAACTATCAAGGCAATAGAGGCAACTCTTCAAACCAACAATGGCGACCTCAAGGTAACTGGGGCAATTAACAGTAAGGTGGTGGTAATTGGAACAACAACCACCAAGGCGGTAATTGGGGGAACAACAATCAAGGCAACCAAGGGCATTGGAATGGTAATAACAATAATTGGAACAACAATGGTCAAGGCAATTGGAACAACAATGGAAATCAAGGCAATCGGGGGCAAGGCATTGAAAGGCCCCCAATGTACCAGCAACCAAACAATCCACCCCCGCTCCCTTCTCAAGGATCTAGTTCTTCGGGTAATGATATGGGAAGAATAGAAATGATGTTTGAACAAATGATGAAGAAGAACCAAGATTCCGATGCTCAATTGGCTTCCCACAATACCTCCATTCGGAATTTAGAGGTGCAATTAGGCCAAATCTCTCAATCGTTGAATACTCGCCCATAGGGTGCTCTACCAAGTGATACGGTAGTGAACCCTGAGGGTGGGAACAATCATGTGATGGCGGTTACAGCAAGAAGTGGGAGAGGCGGTGATGTGCGTGCCTCGAAAGATAAGCAAGTTGCGGATGATTATGTTTAGTTGCAAGAAAATGATGTTCCATTGGTAGCTGAAGAGGTAGTTAGTGATAATGTGAACAAAGAAGTGAGGATTACATTGATGAAACCAAGGTGGAAACTCAAGAGGCCGTGAACCCGTCTAGGGAGCACATAATTGACATGCCGGAGCCGGTGGTGCCAAAAGCCAAGGCACCTTTGCCTAGACCACCTCCCCCCTATCCTCAAAGGCTAGCCAAGCAGAAAAGTGACAACCAATTTAAAAAGTTCATTGACATGATGAAGAGCTTATCCATCAACGTGCCTTTGGTGGAAGCTTTGGAACAAATGCCTGGGTATGCGAAATTCATGAAAGATTTGGTTACAAAGAAGCGTTCCATGGATTGTGAAACAATAAAGATGACTCACCAAGTCAGTGCGATAGTGCATTCAATGGCTCCGAAATTAGAGGATCCCGGTGCTTTCACTATCTCTTGCACCATTGGTAATGCAGACTTTGCCAGGGCTTTATGTGATCTTGGGGCTAGCATCAATTTAATGCCCTTCTCAGTTTTCAATACTCTAGGTATTGGGCCACCAAGGCCAACCTCCATGAGATTACAGATGGCAGATAGATCAATGAAGCATCCTTTGGGTATAGTAGATGATGTGCTTGTCCGGGTGGACAAATTTATCTTCCCGGCGGAGTTTGTGATTTTGGATTATGATGTGGACTATGAGGTCCCAATTATTCTAGGGAGATCTTTCCTTGCAACGGGGAAGGCATTGGTTGATGTTGAAACGGGTGAGCTAACTTTCCGAGTGGGAGATGAAAAGGTGGTCTTCCATGTTTGCAAATACATGAAGCAACCCAATAGCACCGAGGTGTGCTCTTTTGTGGACATTGTCACAGCTGTGATAGTGGATGACACAAGTTCCATGATCAACGTGGAGGATCCTCTTGAGGCCGTGCTATTAAATCTTGATGTCAATGATGATGCAAGCAGAGTGGAGTGTGTCAATGCTCTACATGGGATGGGCTCTTATTCTTATGAGCCCAGCAAATTGTCTTTGGATCTTGAAAATCGGAAAACTCCACCAACCAAACCATCAATTGAGGAGCCACTGGTGTTGGAGTTGAAGCCACATCCTCCACACCTCAGGTATGAATACTTGGGCTCTAATTCAACTTTACCAGTTATTCTTTCTTCTTGCCTTACTAACATGCAGGTTGAGGCCATTTTGGCGGTGCTTCAAAGGCGTAAAAGGGCAATTGGATGGACTCTGGCGGACATTCGGGGAATAAG